CGTAGAAACTTTAACCATATAAATACAAATGGACATAGTCTGTGTGAGTCCATAGGTTTCTGAAGAGCAATGGTGAAGCTCAAAGTGTAGCTCAAAGGCTCTAGATGTTGCTATCTTTAAGTTCGGACTCCGCTGGCCAATCAAAAAAAGCCTGGTTATTGCAAACAGCCGCCTGTGACAGCATCCACCGGTTACTCAAAGCATCCATGCTATTTTTAATGCGTAACATTAGGCCTTAACAAAACATTAAGGCTTAAACGTCATGTATTCTAATAAGGGGCCTTATGGAGATGAATCACTTATGTAGCCGGCCTCAAGTGGCCGTTGGAGTTCGTGTTGGCTTCATTTGCCTGCCATGGAGATTGCTGCTTGGTTTTAACAAGCAGTCAGATACGGTCAAGACTGACCATCAATATCTTCCATTTCTAGCCGAGTCTGAGTCTGTGTTCACTCCAACTGAAGTCAACTCTAAACAAAACCAAGAATGTAGGCTCACCAGTGGACACCACATGTAAAAAGGACACCCTTGGAGCTACTGGAGTGCATATTTCACCTCTTTTTTTGAAAGCTAGCCGCCTCCCAAAAACCTCCAGTCAGGCACAAAGCTAACACATCTCATGCCTGGCTCTGCACAAACCAATCCATCAATCCTATGTAACTTCTATTCATTTTTCTCTTTATTCAATGTTTCTGGATTTCTATTTCTGTCAAATTGTCTGCAGCAGCAACTGCTTTATATGCTACAGTAACTATCCAGTTAACTACCTTATTACTTTAAACGTCTCTATGGGTTAAATCTTGGTGATGTGTAGGCCCAGGGTGTCTGAACGCGCTGAAACAGCCAGCACTGCTTTGGGCTATAAGCCGGTGCAATATATCACCTGGTCGAGGGACGCACACAACACATCTCAGCTGTAGCCTACAGCCAGTGGCCTGCTCCAACCTGTGGACATGGGTTTTATAATGGAAGATCTGCAGTGAACACATGCAATTTGTGCACTATAATTACACTCAAATATATAATTACTCCTGAGCATGTATTGTTCTGGATGAGGCTAGTTGAATTGTTCAAGTGCTAAGTGTTCATGTTAAACCCTCAACTAGCTTGCTCCCTCTCTCTCTCTTTCTTTTAGGGTCCAGCTCAAAGAGTTTCTCTTGTAGTGAAGCTCCAGTTGTGTCACATTTGATTTGTATGCACAATATGGGAACCCCAAATGGATCTGACAGTGCTGGACACCACTGACTTATTAGATGCTCGTTTTTTTTTTTTTTTTTATTTAACTCAAGAGTATTGAGCTTTGAGGTAAGAGCTTGGGGCGAGGCCGGGAACTGAATTACCAGTTTGTCCTCCACCTTACAGTATGAACAGAGTGTGGAAAAACAGCCTTTACTTCCTGCCGCTGAAAGCTCAGAGTGAGTGACAACCTTTGGTAAAATGTCTATGACAATATGCAGCGAGGCAACAAAATCACAATGACTGAGGTTAAGCCAGTCACTCAAAACCTTTAAACCTTTGTGAGCATCTTCTGTACTGAATGACGAGACAGGATGTGGCGACAGACTGAAAAGTTTATAAAAAGCATGAGTATTGTTTAATACATGTATAACTGAATAATGAGAAAAAGAATCAAGTTTTCAAGAACTCGTACAGCAACAAAAAGTTTGTTGCAGTCATTGTGTTTAGTTTGGCCGGGGAGCATGTTTCTCTTTCCTTGCAATGTGATACGAATGTTCTTTGATAGTGTAAGAGCTCCCTGCCACATTGCGATTAGGGATCCCAAAAAACTCAGACAATCACCAAACATCCTCTTCCCATCCCACCGGGAGAGCCACACAACTCCCTTCTCGCCGGTAGTGTAAAAATCTGAATCAGGCGAGAGAACAAATGAAATTCTCACAGCGTTCAAATTCAATTTGCCATTGTGGTTGACTCGCTTGTTGTGATGGAATTCCACTGTGAAATAAACACAGATGGGGAGATTAAGATCTGCTCAGAAATAAATGACGTCTGTCGCAGGAAATGACAGTCCAAATACGCAGCATGCCACTGGGACGCAAAAAGGTTATAAATAAGAAAATAAATAAGATTATAAGCTCTCTAGGGGGATGATATTGATATTTAAACACTCAGGTAATGAGCTTTAAAATGAATATGTGTGAAAAATAATAGGAAAAGAAAATATCTGCTACTTGAAATCCAACTAAACATTTGATGTTTCCAAAAAGTAGCTGTTTCTACTCTGTACTGTACTGGCTGGGAATTGTGTACATCAGTGTGTGTGTGTGTGTGTGTGTGTGTGTGTGTGTGTGTGTGTGTGTGTGTGTGTGTGTGTGTATGTATATAAGAGAAAGGCCTAGAGAGGGAAGGGCCATGTGAAGACAGGAAAAGCCCTGGTGCACAAAAACAAACAAACAAGGCCCAAGCAGTGGTAATTAAGTCCTCATTAGTCCCTGTTATGCACAGGAACGCAGCGGAGCGGCAGACAGCGCTGTCATTTCTGACCAACAGTAGCCAAAACCTGGAGCTGATATAGATCCCTGCACCACGCAACAGTGGGTGTTTACCCAGAAACTCTCTGTGTTTCCACCTCAGCTGGCACGTACAGGGCGATGAGTGTTCTGGATCAATTTTGCTGAGCAGGGAGGGGAGGAGGAGGGCCCCTCGGCCAACAGCTACGGGGCTGGTATAGGGAGTTTGGCTCTTGGGTGTGGAGCTGCAAATGTGCTTTATCAAAGAGTAGCGTGAGGCGTACAGCATGTGCTTTCTTGTAGGTTCAGGGAATCAGAACAGGTGGCTTGACCAAAGAGAAAAAAAAAAACGTAGTCACGTGTAAGTTGGAGTTTGAAAAAAAAGAGAGAGAGAGAGACCAAACGATTTCAGACACGAAAGTTACACCAGATGGAGAACATCAAGAAAAACACACAATACTGGAGGCGAAAAAGAGATGAGGTGAGGCAGAAAGTGATGGACGCGGAAGAGAGTCAACACAAGCTCAGGGAAGAGAAGGAACAAGGGCTGCACTTAGTTCTTTTATTTCCCGCTCCCCTCAGGCACGCCAAGTCTCATTTACCAGCTCTGTAACTGCATACACCTGACCCAACACATCAGCATAACATCCAATGGGCAAGTTGCACGCACACACATGCTGTACACACCTTGGGATCATACCTGGCTCTACTACACCCACCCACAAATGCTCTGCTCTAAGTTTGCCTTAGAATTAGAGGATAAAAAAACTCAACTGAGCAAAGGTCAAATCAGCACTTGTAACATCAGGATACATAAAGTAGACTTTAAAGTCCGCTCCTACATGCTCTAATAACGTTAATATAACAAACACGCTAGTTAAACACATTCACATGAAGCATACGAGGGAGAAAAATGAATAGATATTTGCAGCCAGGAAACACAAAACATGAAAAAGCCAAAAGGAAGCAAGCAAATACTGTCCACTCTCACTATCTCTAGAGCAACAGGACACTCCCTTCTAGCACATAAAAAATGACCGGGCGTTCAGTCGAATCGATCCATGGGGCCTGCCCACAGACACACAGAGCCACCTTGCAGGGTACGGTCTTGGCACCTGTTGCATTTGAACAACAGAGCCTCAGTACCTGGGAAACCAGATAACAACGGCGGTTAAGAGCTCTCAGTGGCTCTGACTGTGTCAACAATGGCCCCCCTTTCGCTGCCTGGGCACACACTTGTACACACATGCTCAGACGCACCCATACACACTCACACATTTAAAAAAAAAAAAAAAAAAAAAAAAAAAAAAGCACTTATTCAAACACGAAGCAAAATTGGAGATCACGCCAAGTTTTTTGGTTGAGTGGAAAAGCATCCGTCAAATATAGTATGGGACAGCTGTCGTCCTCCATGGCAACCGCATGATAAATAAACTCAGCTTTTATCTCCACATCAAGAATGCAAGTTGGAGTTACACGTTCTGTAAACAGAGAATTATTATTATTATTTAAGTGATAGATGGGGGGGGGTGTATCACTTAAACTTTAGAGTCAGTATAGACTTTTACCCCCACAGGTGTGACATGACACTTAAAGTGGTAAATCCATCCAAAAGCCATCCGTCTGTCTGAAGTATGACTGTGGGGTGTAAACAGATCTAGTCAAAGTCAGTGTCTGAGCCCTCCTCCATTATCCTCTATAGCTCCATTCCCAGACACACCCTTCTTCTCTCACACAACCACATACGCACAGAGGGCATAAGAGGGAAAACCCTTGCATGAAACGTGTTAAGACCTTAAGAAACAAGGTTATATTCAACATTTTGTACAATGTACACTTGTACTAGTACAGGTGTGCTTGAAATATAATTCCAAAGTAAGAAAACAGCTCCGTACATTATTTGTGAACAGAGATCCACAGGCTGCCTAAGTCCTGTTCAACAAGTCTGAAGTGTTGAAAATGTAATAATGTGCTGTGCACCTCCAGCATATCACGTGTCTGTGCCAAGCAGGCACACAACCAATGTGCTCGCATCCAAACACACCCACTGCAGTCAAATATGAATGCAAATGTGACACACACACACACACACACACACACACACACACACACACACACACTCACACGCACTCGAGTCCTCATGAGGCATACATGATGCAAATATATATTTAATGAACAATATATTATGGGCCTAAACCCTTAAAGGCTTAGTCCAGCTATGTAGTGTTGCACTTTATAAAGTTGGAGACAGATGTTGGGATATCCCAAAACACTGGATGCTATTTTCCCATAATGCACCTTGATAGCTTCTTTCATTAGATGCCATCAAGTTGCCTCCAAAACACTAACTTTTTCCAAACCTCCCACACCTCCAGTTTGTAACGTGGGTTTCTACTAGCTACAGAAATATGACATCTCCCCTCCAGAGCCCCATGAGACATTATACAGCTGTTTAATGGGCTGAGTAAACTGACCTTAAATCAGTGGAGTGGCCCTTAAATATTCCACTATAATAACTCATGTCCGCTCACCTGGAAGATCAGCACTTTAAAATGGTTCCTCTTCAGCAGGTGGCTGTGGTTCGCCTCCAGCTTCTTCACCTGGACCGCCTGTTTGTCCAAGCGCTCCCTCACGTCCTTCAGGTGCCCGCTAACTTTGCGGGAGCGCTCGAGCAACTTGCTGACGCTGTTGGAGGTGCTAACGTGGGTTTTGGACAGGCGGGTCACGTCCCCCTGCACGACCCGCACGGCGCCCTCCAGGTCGGCCTGCTTCTGCTCCATGCGCTGCTGGTTGTCCTGCACCGCCTCCAGCATGTTCACCAGTTTGTCCAGAAGCGCCACCACGGTGATGGCGCTCACCTGGCCGCCTGCCACGGGGCTACCCGGGGACACCGCGGTCGGGCTGGTCGGACTCCTTAAGCCCAGCCGGGAGAGGGTGCTGGTCGGGGTCGGGGTCGGGGAGGACGGGGCGGACGACTGGCTCGGGATAATGAGTTCGGGCGCGTTTTCGGGCAGCTGCTGCGGGATGGTGTGGGTGCTGCCGGAGACGCTGCTGGGCTCGGCGTGGGACGCGTCTTCTTCCATGGTTCACAGGTGGTCAGATGTCCCGCTTTAATGGGCTAATTCACCTAAACACAGTGGTTTAGTTGTAGTTTCACCAGCTCTGCGATGCTGCTGTGACTTCCTCCAGCAGGGGACTGAAAGCTGGGTGATTTACTTCTTGGAGTTGATTCAGCATCCACGCCCCTGTCTGTCTTTCTCTGTCCACACACACACACACACACACACACACACACGCACAAACACGCTGGTGAACTTTCAAAACACCTCCCCTGCAAGCCAAAAGGGAGGGGCCTGGTTGCTATGGAAACCGTGCAGGCCTAGCCCTATTGACAGAATAGAGGTAGAGTTGGTGTGTGACACTATGTGTGTGTGTGTGTGTGTGTGTGTGTGTGTGTGTGTGTGTGTGTGTGTGTGTGTGTGTGTCGTTCCTTGCTGTGTGTTTTCATGTGACTGCCAATTCCACTTTGTGCATGCCTGGCTGCATTTGCAAAATATGTGTGAAGGCTACTTTTGTGTACTGCACACGCTGGTGTGTTTTTGTACTGGACTGCATTGTAATGGAGGGGGACATTGATGTGTGTGTGTGTGTGTGTGTGTGTGTGTGTGTGTGTGTGTGTGTGTGTGTGTGTGTGTGTGTGTGTGTGTTTCCGACAAAACAATAAAGTGGAGACAAAACTGTATAGGCCAGAGTTTCAGGAACTTAGCTGAATGTTTCCACTGTAGGATGAGATACATCATGGACCATGAAGTCTGGTGTATGTATGTGTTTCCCTGTGTGCCCCTTTCCTCTCCCCCTCTTGTTTTTTAGCTCTGTGTCGTGGCACGGGGCACACTGACATGGAAATGTGGAAATCCCTGTTTCAACAATGAGCTCATCTGTGCCATGGCATGAAGCCCTGGCCTCTCTCTCTCAATCTTTTCTCTTTGTCACCGTCACTGTTTGCAGTCACACAATCACTCTTGCAATTTAACATGAACTAAATCAAATTAAACGTGCGGTGTTTAAACAGGAATGTGTCGGTGGGTTGCAACATTTTCTATAAGAGAGAAGCGTGTGTGTTTATCTGGGTGATTAATCCCCTCGCAGAAAGCCAACTGCTTTATAACTATGATAATAATCTATTTTATCACCACAAAGTATGGAAAGCATTCAAGAAAACACCTTTTTTTATTGGATTCTGCCTGATATGGTAAAGGCTTGGTCAGCTACCAGCTCATCTAAGATCAATAAAGTATTCACACCCTTAAACTGAGATTAGGCATTCTGCAACTACTCGTACTGTATGCACACACACAGAAAAGGCACACCTTAGAACAGCATTAAAATATGTTGGGTCCACAGTCCTCCTCAGATCCAAACCACATTAATCAACAACATTTATTTTTAAATTGTGTTGTTATTTTAGTATTCGCTGAAGTGATTTTAACACATTTGGCTGCCCCTAGAGCTGCTGATTTAAAGGAATAGTTCCACATTTAAACCATATTTATTTGCTTTCTTGCTGAGAGTTAGATGAATCTACAGCATGGGGCACAGTTAGCTTAGTTTAGCACAAAGATTGGAAACAGCTAACCTGGCTCTGTTCAAAGACAAAATGCTGCATACCAGCACCTCTAAAGAGTTTTATGGGGGAGTTGTGTGCCAGACTATTTCTTGGCTGGGTGCAGTCACTTTGTTTTTTCCCACTAAACAAATGAGGTATGTTAAAATAGGTAGTAGTTTAAAGAACCGGCGCACATAGCGGTGTAGTTGCAGATTGCAACTCCTTCGCTTCAACCTCCCCTTTTAAACGCTGCAGGAGAAACTACAGTGGCTGTAGAAACATGGTGGTTCAACATGCTGGCCTTCGTGGAAGAGGACCCACATCGCATTCTAAGGTCAGAAAAACAACGATTTATAATTTGAGGTGATTATACACTACACCTTTGTGTACACACTGGAGACATAGGTAGATGGATTTGGTTCACTTTAGACATAACAAGGCTAGCCTTTTCCCTGTTTTCAGTCTTTGTGCTAAGCTAAGCTAACTGGCTAAGCCCCTCCCCTTAGCCAGTAGCTTCATATTTTACCCACAGATATGAGAATAATATCAATCTCTTCATGTAACTCTTGGAAAGAAAGTAAATAATAGTCTCAGTTAAACGCGTTATTAACGGCGTTAACACAAACCCATTTTAATGGCGTCAATTTTTTTATTGCAAGATTAACGTTCTTCTTTTTGGCCTAGCACACTTTGTAGTTTTTTTTCACATGCTGTTGCAACAACTAGTAGCGTTAGAAAAACTACAACACCACACCGGATCTAGTTAGACCGGAAACAAAACAACAGGCACGCCGCACACACTTGTTTAAGAGTAGTAGACGTTCCGTTTTGAGTGGATGGCGAGCGCGAGACGCCAAAATGGATGCCAATAATATTCTGAATGGAAAGTTTACTTTTAAAAAGTTGCCAAATGGTTCCATTGACAAGACCAAAGTGATCTGTGTGTTTTGTCGTTGTGAACTGAGCTATCATCGCAGCACGTCCAGTCTGAAATACCACTTGATGGCCAAACACACAGTGGACAATGGATGACTTCAGACAGAAGCACATGGATACCAGAACAAACTTACTGCAGCCATAGCTAAATGGGTGTTTACTGCATGTAGGCCTGTTAATGTTGTGGAGGACGAGTGACAAAGTATTTCTTTCACCCTTTCATTGATGGACAGTGTTACATTGTGTTAGAGATTATTTGCTCCAAGTGAGAATATTAGTGTGAAATTGAACACTACAATGTTGTTTTCCATAAAAACAACATTTGCACAAAGCAAGCCGATCCACTTTTCCATGTTGATAGGAGCATTTAGAATAAATAAAAATGTGTGATTAATTGCGAGTTAACTATGACATTAATGCAATTAATCGCGATATTTTAATCGTTTGACAGCACTAGTAAATAACTATTCCTTAAAAAAATAAAAGTGGGACCTATGTGGACATGATGGCCATAGTTTGCCATTGTTCTGTTACAGCTGAATCTTTACATACATACTATACATGTAGTCAGAACCGCTCCTAGAAATTCTCTCGTGTCAACATCCAGGACTAACACCTCTTCTTGAGGTTGCTCGCTCAACAAGCTTCAAAGCTGTCAGAGTAGAGTGGAAGTGCTAGACGCACACTAGCAAGTTTCCTTCCCCCTCCGACTAAAAAACCCCAGTGTCTCTAACCCCTCTCACTGTCACCGCTCCTCCTTGGAGACACACACTTTTGTCATCATAAAAGTGTGACCTCCCGTTCCTCCTTCTTGAACTCTGACTTTTCCCACTTTCACCTCCGGGATAGAGCGGAGGGAATGACGCTCCCATCCTGTCATTCTTCCAACTGTCCCCCTCCTTTCCTTTCCCTTTCCACTGCTCCCCCTTTTCTCCATCCCTCCCTTTCCCCCTTTTCTTCCTCTCTCTGTAACTTATCTTCTGCTTTCCTGAATTCCTCCGGTGTTCCCGATGGTCTGGTACATGTTTCACACATTCCCAGTGTTGTGTCAATGAATGTTGTCTTTCCCTAGCCTATTTTGTAATAACACAACTATTTATTTAAGGCTCCTTTTTTGTGGTTAGCCTTCCTATAGTCACATATGTTAGAATATACTACAAAAACAATTATGTCATGCACACAAGCTGTTTGGGAATGAGTTAAAAAAAAAGAGCCGGTGCATGGGCACCTTCGCTTGAAGAAATGGATGTATTTGCCCTCTGGAGGCTGATAAATGCAAGTGCATGGCCTAATCCAGATAGTACAGTGAGTGTTAGACTTCTGTTAATCAGAGCAATTCACGCCTTTATATTCTAGAGGCGATTATGATTCACTGTCTTTTCTCTTTTTGTTACAGTCACAGTTACACTCAACTCCAGTTTGAAATTTTGCTGAAGAAACCTCTTTTAACCAAATCCTCAACTGTAAAAACCCTCTAGAAACAAGTAATGGGTGAAGTTCGGCATCAGCGTATTCCATCATTTTAACAAACATGCCGCTGCAAGTCACATCACTGAATGATTGAGCTTTGTATCCTGGGAAACCTTCAGCAGGAGGTGTGGTGTCGCTGTAACCGTTGGCTGTTGGCAAACCACCTGGGTGGATGACTGAGTTTCAAAGAATGACTGATGAACGAGTTTCTTTGAATGTGAAATGCAATCTCATGCAGCGGAGGATTATTTCAAAAGACTTTGCATAAAAGTAATTTATTTTTATTTTCCTAAAGGCAATCTTACTAGATTTCTTTTTACCCAGAAGCACCACCTCACACTGCATTCTAACACACAAAAAGACAGAGAGAGTTTAATCTGGGCGGGAACAACTTCTCACACAGACACTTACTCACTTTAGGAGTTTTCCTTCTTTTTGTTTAACCAGTGCATGTTCTACAGTCCTTCTCATTGCTAACTGCATCCACTGGCTTAAGAAGATGGTGACAGCCTCCTCTGTGTGGTTCCACATGTTTGTTTTTAAATGCCTGCTTGATTAGGATACAAGAATGCAACAGAAAGACCTGGAGGCAGACTTCCCGGGGACTTTAATGATGGTTTCTCGCACAGACGGAGACGTTATGCTATCATGTCGAGGAGGAAATACTCACACGGAAGTGTACTGTCTGCATTTTTACTTGCAGTTGCTTTGACACGGTATGTGTTTTTACAGGTTGTTAAATGCACAGTATGTGGTCACATTGTAGGTCCTTGGGTAATATATAAAGTGAAAGAACAATACTAATAGTAATAATAATGAACTTTAACATATTTGTATAGAACTTTTCAAAACAACTCTTCCAAGTACTTCACAGAGCGTCACCTCTAGTTGCGAGCCTGGATGTAGGAACAGCCTGGATCTCCATGCTAGAAGACCTCATAAATACAGTATACATACAACTGATGCACTGCTTGGCAATATGTCCTATGCATTTTAGTTTTTTTGAAAGTTCTAAGTTGGGGGTCAAAGCTACTGGGTATCTTGCAAACGTTGACACACCCACAGCGAGAAGCAGCAGCGGCGATGTTGCGCGATTTGTTTGCTCCCAGTAGGTCTTCACCTTGACGGACGACCCATTTTACACAAAGTCTGTTCACAGATTTCAGGGAGTGAATGAAGCCTTTTTATAGTGGCAGTGTGAAATCTAATACAGTGCCTCAAGTGATGTCAGTTGGGGCTGAAGACTATACGTTTGACAATGAAAGAAATCTGGGGGTGTGGCTTTAGAAAGACATGCTAAATCCATGCAGAGCTCTTTAAACTGCAATCATTCCTCTTCTCCATACTGCCCTCTGTCAATACCGTTGTAGGACGAAGGATTTGTCCTGCGAGTTGCAGGTAGGTTTGTCGTTGGGCAACAAAACAAGACGAGAACTACTGAAACCTTACATTAGCTTCAGCTGAATTTTACAGTGCCTTTCTGCAGGAAACAAGGACTGTGGAATTATCTAGCACCATGGAGTTCCTCTAAGAGATCACAGCCGGAAGAGGAACTTCAATATAATTTGCATCCAGGAAGAAGAACTGGGACACGAGCTGCTTTGCTGTTGATGATGTATCCAGAATATATGCACATTGTCATGGCTTTGCTGTTTAAAACTAAAACAGTCAAATTATTTTTTCTCTTCGTCAGAACTCAGAAGTACTCATCCACCTGATTCCTCATACGTCATAGTCACTCCTATTATGTGACATCTGCAAAGGACACAACAAACCGGTTCCCTGATCAGTGTTTAAATGGGACCCCTAATGCTTGTGATTACCATCAACAGTCACACACAGGTGGTCATATCTATAATGATACGATGGATGCCCGGCAGTGTTTTATTTGTATAACCAGCTCAGACTGGATGTCTGGTTACACAGTGGGAAATAAGGAAGCAATGGTACCCTTTTGTCGCTAAATCAAAGGCCCCCACAGAGGGGAAAATGGCATGCTGGGCCCGAAACAGATGGCGATGGATCTTTAAATGACCCTTTTTCACAGACCAGCGTGTGTTAGACACACGCTCACTTAAAGGTGGCCTTGTACGTTACTAGAAGAGTGGGTGTGTACTTGTAGTGTGTCATTTTTGTGATGCTATCAATTGTGAAGCTAATGGACCAATTTTCGAGGTGTTGAGCTTTACGCACCCTCAAAATATGAGGAATGTGTGTGCGCGCGCGCGTGTGTGTGTGTGTGTGTGGTCTTGTTTGTTTGTGTGAGTGTGTATGTTTTAATGTGTCCAACACCATCAATTTTCAAACCAATGGGCCAATCCTTCCCTGCCAAAGGAGTTGAGGCGCAGTTTGTTGATTGTAAAATCAATGTGAGGGCTCTCCTGGCCAGTCATTCAGCCTGAAGGTTCCCAAAGTGTGGATTCCTGAAAGACAGCCACATGCCTTCCAGCAAAATTGTTTAAATTTGTTGTTATTTCATTCATCACCTGTACTTCTCTCCACACCATTGGGAAATGTTTTATTCAGTGGTATGTACATTATCTACATTTGAATGCCTTCGAAAAACAAGTCTACATGTTCAAACATGCTGGCTAAAATGGGAAGGAACTTCCCAGGAAGGAGCTATGCTCTTCTAAGATAAGTGTCAGATTCCAAAACCAAGTGCCTATCGGCTCTGTAGGTGTTGGGAATGTGCATATGGGGAATAATTTGTGTGTGAACTGATTGTTGTGTGCTGAAAACAGAATGAGAGTTTGGGTATATTTGTCCCTTAAAGGTCCAGTGTGTAACATTTAGGACGATCCAGGAAGGAATGGAATATAATATTCATAGTTATGGTTTTTATTAGTGTATAATCCCCTGCAAATAAGACCTGTTGTGTTTTTGTTACCTTAGACTGAGCTGTTTTTATCTACAGAGAGAGCAGGGCCTGTTGAACTGCCATGCTTCTACAGTAGCCCAGGATGGACACTGGCTCTGCAAAACCTTCTTCTATATTTGCCAACTCATCACTAAATGTGTTTGTTTTCCTCCACCTGATGAGCAGGTATGGCAATATAGTTTTTACATCTTTTTTTGCTGAAAGCAGCAGAAAACAATGCTATGAGAGCGATAAGAGTAAAGTTGTGGACCGGACCAATAAACAGTGAGCTGAACCTCACTTTAAAGCTCTCTAAAGCTGGCAGGAGCTGCACGATCAGGAGATATGTCTCAAGCAATCCCTTTCACATTGTTTTTATATTTTGATACACTGAGAAACGCTTTAAGTGTTAATGTTGATCATGTGAGAAAATGTGATAGGTGTAGACTATGCTAAATTACCTAAATAAGTACAACCTGAAGATTAAGTTATATTTGGCCTGCAGGAATTGAACATTGCACTATTTGTGTCTTTCTTACAGTTTGGGTGTTATTTCACTTATAGCATATATTTTACAAAAAGGAGTCAAAGTGAAAATGAGTTAATTAACTGTCAAAGTAAACCTTTCTATGTTTACACTTTTGTGGCAGAAAACTGATGCACTTCATGCCTGACTCCCTAGAGGTGATGTTACACCCTTGGACTTGAGCCAGCAGGGATACCACACTCTACTGCTGCCAGCAGTTTCATGTCAGAATGTAATCTAAAAAGACTAGCATTCATTTTCAAGCCTCCGAGATTTAACGCTGGTACAGTGTGTTCCTCCTCCATCAACCACCAACAAATGGTACAACCACAGATGTCAGAAGTCTTCCTTTATTTCTGGAAACAAGGTGGGATTCCCTATTTCTTGGCAGCCAGCCTAGCTGACTATTAAGTAATTTCCCTGTGTCACATGTTGTTCAAATTTCATGAACTAGAGTTATTAAAACCAAAGTCCACTGTGGGGGGATCTTTCTGTCCATTAATGATAGCATTCACCACATTCCTTGACCACAGATGAGAGCAGATACTCAGACATTCACAGAAATTTCCTTCCTACTCCTCCCTGGCCTCTGGCCTACTGGATTTGAGCTGAAACTAGCAGGCGAAGACAGGAAACTGACAGGATTCCACCGGCTGGGTCTGCTGGGTACTGTGCACACACACGTGTATACAAATAGGGGTGTGCCCAGGGGATGAACTGCAGGGGATGGAGCACGGGAGGTGTCACAGGGAAAAAATAATTACTTATCCATGCTCTCCAATTACTCATTTGTGGTCGCGATTTAATAATTCATGCTCTCAAATTACTAATTTGTGCTCTCGATTTAATATTGATTACGACGTGAGGCAGCTGACATCTGTCTCTCCCTCTCTTACCACCCAGAAGCAACAAAGCCACTCTTAAAATGAAATATAGAGTAGCTGTGTAGGTTAACTGCTGCTTCCACACGCAAAACAACATCTGAACGTAAATCTTTTTTCTCCCCCACACACACACACAGGCACAGATACTGAATGCAGTGTGTTAGTATCTAGTTGACACTCAGGCAACACATGAGTGACAGAGGTTCAGTCTGATATCAGCGCAGAAAGGAGCAGTGTAAAGAGAGAAATGGCTAATCTTGTCTGCATTCTGTCTGAGGAGTAATGGGAACCCTGCTGATCAGCATGACCAATGGACCATTTTCCCAGCAGCCATTTTGACATGTAATTGTAGGGTAAACACAGGTGACACTAATTAAGGTTCTTCTCAATTTGGTGCAACAGAGCCTTTCCAGTCAGACAACATGCACAATAGCAGCACCCTGACTTTGTTTGACCTGAAACTGAATCTTAATTAGTATCATCTGTATCACCTGTGTTTACCCTACTATTTCATGTCAAAATGGCTGCTGTGAAAATGATCTATTTCCCGCAGTGCTTCACAGGATCCGCACCTTGGCCAGCCATTACGACACCCCTTTTGTGCAAAATACATGCGTCTGCCTCGCACCAAAACCGACATTAAATCGAGAGCATGAATTATTAAATCGAGAGAAGAATTAGTAATTTGAGAGTGTGCTCCGAGACTCTTTTTATTTTGAGGGAGGGATAGAGGAGAGAGATGAAGGTCAAAGTATGGACTTGTGGATGAGACACTGCCCACTGGAGATTTCGATACAAGCAGCCACACAGACTGTTCCAGGTTTGAGGAGGTGAAGTACAAGGCTGTTGCTGCAATTGAAAACAGGAAGGAGGAAAGGGATGCTCTCAGTGCTGTTTATTCATCAGATTTATCCCACTCAGGGTTTGGTAAATGTTCTTATTTCTGTATAATCAATGTCAGTGGGAATGCGTCATTGCCTGAAGTTTCTGTGTTAAACTTGGCAAAGCCGGGCTGGCATTATTAAATGTCTGAAGTTACTAAAAGACGAGGGATCTGCCCTTCAGACAAACAAACACATGCCTGCACTGAATGCCCACAGGTCCATAAGTAACAGGCTTGGGAACATTTTTAAGTCTGCCAGAATGACCCACGAGTGACCCCCGTTCCACCTGAGGACTTTATGTATGAACCTTTCCCTTATTAGAAAAGTCTTGGAGTGTTTCTAAAAGCAATGTGTCTATGTTTTCA